AGACAACCATGAAATTACGAATTCGGTTTATATAGAAAACAATCTATAAGCTGTTACAGCATAGAAAAAAGGAAAAAGGCTGCCATTACGAAAATTAAAACTGAAAGACTCTAGCGCACCTTTGATTGACTTTAAAACTGAATTTGTTATCCAAATAACATCGCACCCTGTGAACAACGAAGTAGACTTCATTCAAGTCTGCCAGATTTTTCCAGTTTTGAATCATGTAGAGTGAAAAAACCTACCTATACTACTTAACATTTATAGTGTTTCCTGCTATCTCATAAGTTCACTGTTATAGCGAAGATGTCATTACTGCAAGAATGCTGCAAAGCTAAAGAATCCATTCAGTTATACGACACAAACTGGGAGGAAAGGTTCTCAAATGTAACCAAGTGCCTTGAATAGGGCAGGAAATTTCTAAAAGAAAGGGCTTAGCGAAGCTTAGTGAAAGAGAGAGAACACCACTACAATAAAATAAAATAGGTAACTGGGTAGACGTAGACGAGAGCAAAACAGCCAAATGAGCGCCAGATTGTGAACAAAGATGTTGGCATAGGTTCTCTGTGGAGCACGAAATCTTGTAACTGCCTTGACCTGACTTTGACGAAGAAAAAACACTACAAAAAATATGGATATGAATTTTGCAAGAATTTGCATTTTATCCCTGCCTGGTAGATGCCCGGTAATGGCTAAACAATTTTGTAAGCCTATAAGCAAATCCGCCAATGGAATCTATACTGCAAAAATCTGTTGAAGAATAATTTTTCACGTGAGTTATTTTGTGACTCTGGGGAATAAAGAAGGAACAAAAGAATTTCCCAAGAAGTGCGGTAGGTGGGCCCGCGTATGGGAACCATTCTCGCTCGCGGGGCTGCGCTGCAGCCTTTCTCCGGGACACGAAAGCCGTCAAAGCATTGTTAGGGAGCGGAATACGCCGGCAACCATTTTGTACTGCACTTTCCAAAAGCTCGTAGATTTTGTTTGCCAGCAATTTACTTAAAACAACCCATCAATTCTTTTATTAGTCGTGACTTCCTACTCTCATTCTAGAGAAGCTTCAGTTCTGGAAAAGCCCTAAGTTGAGTCCCAAAAGGTTTCGTGTGAGAAAAACATCTGAGAGGAATTTACAGCGATTTCATACTTCATACAACCAGTGAGAAATTCATAATGGCTTCTTATAGCCACTATTTAAAACTTTTCTTGTAAGATCTTTTCCGCATACGAAACGCGTTTGCACGAATGTACAATATGTATGCAGTATTTGGTGCGTTCAACTCACCGTCAATGTAACTCCACCTCTTATTTCTCCGCTTTTAGCATAGACCTCCACAGGATAAAAGATTTTTGGGCAATGAGTGAGGTAACTGACAAATCTATAATTTTGGTTAGGAGGGTAGAAGTAGAACAAATCAAAACCAAAGCGAAGACAAATAATCAGAACATCGAAATCCCAAAAAATTCAAAATTTAGCGGAAAAACCTACCGGTCCTTGTCCAGTAGCTCCTTAATCTTACATATTCATCTTTCTCTGTGTATATGTTGCTGTAATATGGCCCTACATTATCGTGTTTAAATGCGTAAAAATGCACTTGGAGGGAAAGTTGAGGGAAAAGCTAGCACTGGAAATAAATTCCCATTTAACTACAAAAATTTGGTGACCCACAAAGAAGCTTGGTTAACTGGTTCTACTCTATCGCGTTTTCAATGTTTAACCCAAAATGGATAAGAAATTACGGCCCACCCATTCCATCACAGGATCTGCCATCTAACCAAATGCGATTCATATGCTCAGACCGTAAAAAAACTTCTATCTGCCTATTTCATGATCAAAGTGCCTGACATACTCTACGGCTACATTCAGCAATTTCACTTGTGAAATTCCTAAGCGTTTTCTATATTTAACCCAAAGCAATTGTTGCGCAATCTGACGATGACTAAGCTTTGCTCCACTTATTAACATCAACGTTCTAATACTGCACCTAAGGGACGCTTATAGCGATATAGCTGGGAAGTGACTATGAATACGATTTGCTACACCTCATTACAAAAAGGAAGACGCGTTTCATGATGGGCGTTGCTCTTTGTTCTTTCTACACAGTAACCACAATCTTTTTTCAAAGTTTCGAAGCAAGTGTTTGTATGCAAAGTATGTGTAAATTCTATTGAACGTCTTTGGGTTACTAAATTAATGCTATTAAAAAACGGGACTATCCTTACCGGAGCCGAACCTTTAACGTTTGAGTTCTGCTCGGAATTCACGTAGGGGGAGGGTATTTGTTATGCTAGCGAAAATCATATCCGCATGGGGTGGCCTCGTAGGGCCAGGTCCCCAAACAAGAGATCGGTCTTGCATTCGCGGTAACCAGTTAACCTATGCTAGTTATTTAGAACCGCACTTTCCAAATTTTATGACCAGATGCTTGATATCCCCTTAGATGGGGTTCAGGCAATCTTAAAATTTCGTTTCAACGTAGCCTATCTGCCGTGCCTCCGCCGAGGTGGATGGGTATGATTAACGCACCAGTAATTATCAGTAACATACAGTAATAACCCAATAAACCAATTTTTAGGTGGTTACGTAAAATATTACTCATCTACGGTAACCCACAGTAAGACCCTTAACATCCGAACTTCCCCAGCGTTTTAGCTATACTTATTCACATTGTAAGATAAAGCCGCTCCATCGCTTATGTCTTAGTTGCAGCCTTCGGCGCGCCTTTTCAGCTATATTGCATCAAGCATTTCATGGTGAAGGCAGCTTATAGGTGCGTCGGTTGTTTGCGAGTACGGACAATATAGCACTCATAGGTCAGGCTCAGAGGAACGGGCTATATGTTAGACCACTTTCGAACTCCCAGCAGAGCTCGCTCTTTGATCATATGATTTTTTGCAAGCAGGTAAGTTCAAAGATCTTTCTTTTTAGACGTATCACCTCTGTTTTGGTAGCGTAAGGAAAAATAATTAGGTTTCAAATCTTTATTTTTTTGCTGCTGCGCCTTCCACTACTTATGCTAGCTTTTGAGTGGTAGATGATTATTACTGAGTCTCAATAACGTCCGAAATTTATTGAAGAAGAATATTATGGAAGGATCCACATTTTTTGGTCGATAAAGGAACGAAAGTGGAAGTATGAGAAACTTGCGAGCTATGCGCATTATCGCCGTTTGCTCACAAGTGATTGGCATCCCCCTCATCTCTATAAGCTGTGTATAAAATATCATTCATAAGCATCTTGCACAGCAGTAAATCTCCTCCCCGACTGTAAAGTGTCTGAAGTAGTTGGGAGAGCTCTTTTTTTAATGCAGTAACTGCTTCTTGGCTTCAACTTATTTTGAATTGCTTTGCAGATCGTTGAATGCTGGTATTCACCCTGGCAGACTTGATGTAAGTGGTTTTGAAGGTCTACCACCATACCGCATTAATACATCTTAGGTGCAGCGACCGTCTCCGCTCACTTGGGTGAGACTAGAGAGATACCTTCGAAAAGTTTATATCCTTAAACAACTCTCAAAAAATTGCAAATTACTCAAAAATTCAAATTCAACTAAATGGTAAAAATATTACCTTTGTCAAAGCGAATAAGCATGACGCGGACACTGCGACCGCTATGGCCAACTCGCATGCTATATTATGTATAGTATGGAAAGACACTAGAAACTTCTTTACGGTAATCGGAATTATTTATCACAATGCATCTATTTATCTAAGATTTTAGCCGTGAACAGTCACAGTCAGCATCAAAACTGAAGAAATACAAGATGAATTGGTATGACGTCCCTTTGTCAAAGACTTACTTCTACACTCCACCTTCCTAGGCACTGATCAAAGATTTATTACTAAAAATAAATTGTTGAGCTCAGAATTATTTAGCATGTAACACTTTAAGGTATAGTAAAGCGCAAAATAAATACGAAAAGCGTAATGACGAGATGATCATTGGCATGGAAATTAGAGAGCATTTGTCGAGAACCTCGGCTGGATAAACAAGAGCGTACTGGGTAGATAGAAGCACCAATGTAAACCTTCAAATATGTGAACTACTGGATACCGCAACCGAAGAAATAGAATATTTTCGAAAAGCAAACATGATAGCTAGTTTCTGAAGCAATGGCATTTTGAGCCTAAAACGGCTTTGGAAGATCGATGGAGATGATTGAATGAGAAAGGAGGCGAGACGATGTGCGAAGGCAAAAAGACCGTAGATTTTAATAAGATCAAGATAACAGATGGCTTTACGACGACTATATAATCTCTTAGTAAATAACTATAATTTGGCATAACGTAATAACTAGAACTTGACCCTTAGGTGGATCCTATCATATACAACAAAATCACGATGAATTTGCGATACATGCCGCGAAAGGCGAGAATGGGCAGCTATTGGATGTTACACAAGCATACATATTGTAGTTACAGTAATGCGGCGCGTAAATACGTTCACCATCACACTACTACGCAGAGATCATTGATCCGATTTTCGCTTCTCGTATGCAGTATAGACGCTTTGATAGTTACTACATGATCACTAAGTTTAAGAACTGATGAGGGCTACCAAAGTAAAGGCAGAGATAGAGGAAATTGTAAGAAGAAAAAACCAATCGATTATTTAGAGTTCAGTATGAGAGATTTTGTGCAGATCCTCCCCGTAATTAGTGGCTTCAGAACCAACAAACAGCTGATGGGCATCCAAAATCTCCAAGAAAGTTAACTTTCCATCCTACAAAATTGAGCTAACATACATCATAAATTCCTAAGGGCAGCAAATCTTACCTTGTCTTTATCAGCGCCACTGATAAGATGTGCCGCTTCCTGTCTGGCCACCATCTTTACATCGGGGATCAACCAACGACGCACTTCCTCACCACGCAATACACCATCACCGTCGGTGTCATACTCTTTCATGAATCTGAGATGTATTTCATTGACTAATTGTTGGGAATTTCTCCGACACTGTGGTATCCTGCCAAATTCAACATTCAATTTGGTTTGATACAGAACGTGTATGTGTCTGGTCAGACGATTACTCGTACCAAACTTGCCTTAGCCTCCGTTGCACTTTTGACAGGAAAAATCGTTTTTGATCTTGGAATAGTTGTGTTCTTGCTTTACGCATTGAAAGATAAACATAAGGCAAAGATTTAATGTCGCAAGTTAAGTATATGCGATAGCAATATGCAGTCAATAATATGATTCATATAATCGTACATTGATTGTATGAAGAGAAATAAATTTGAAAATAATGAAAAGTGGTGGTATTGCAACAACCTAACCCCTTCTATTTTAGATAACTGCAATCAAGAGGAAATTGTAAAGAATCAATTTTCCAACGAAATAGATAATTGTCTGTTTTTTAGAACCAGATTGTTTGACGTCAGAGAGGAAGTTTCTTTCGCGTTTTGAAACGTTCAATGCACACTTCAAGAACTTGCGAGGATCAAACTGAGACAAGATTTTCAATACTATGTGCTACTCCTACCTATGCAAATGTCAGTAAAATGCCGCTATGCCAAAACACTGAGCTTTAAAAAATCTACACACACAATCATTCCCTGCTATCATGAGAACAAATAAGTTTTTCGTTTATTCTAGTGCAATTTGAAGATTTTGTTAGAACCAGCTTCGCGTTAGATTTTTTTTTTGTCAAAGCAGTTCATGGAACTAAATCAGTCTCACATCTGCAAATAACAGATAAGTTGTTAAGCACTCCTCACAAAAATATTGCATCTCCTTCTAACTGCGAGTAACACCGCAAAGTTTTGACATAGAGAAGCAAGCACCTCTCATCAATTACACTGCAAACAAATCTTGTCTCAATAACATCTTCTTGTCAAAGCGAAGCTTCCAAACCATGTCATCAGTGCGAGAACATGATGCATGTGCACAGCTGATATCATTTCCTAGTAAAAGTTGGAATAAGACAAATTGACGTGGAGTTTGTTCTAAAAGCCTTTCCCATACATGCAGTTCCGAGTACCCAAAAGTATGCACGGCTTATCACTGAAGAGAAGTAGTTAGCTACAAAAGAGTCTCTGTAAATAACAATATTTTTTGCTTTACAAAAGTGCGAAATCAATCTTACAGCTTTATCTGCTACAACCACTTCAAGAAGAA